CTCAAGTACACACAAATTTGTTGATAGCAAAATCTAGAGTCGCGCCTATTAAGGTCCAATCTCTACCAAGGTTAGAACTATGTGCAGCTGTACTACTTAACAAAACATTCCGAAAATTTCATCACAAAATTCTTCCCTACATAAGCAGTATCACCTTTTAGACAGACTCCAGGATTGTGCTCCAATGGTTGACAATGCATTCATCTAAATTAAACTGCTTCGTTGCCAATCGAATTTCTGAACTACAAGAAAACGAAGGCAGTATACAGTGGCGACACGTCCCATCCCTCTAAGAATCCTGCTGACATCGTATCAAGAGGATGCCGCATATTTGAACTGGAAACCAATATGTGGCTAACAGGGCCAGATTTTTTGAAAAGACCGCATGGCGAGTGGCCAACTTTAAACCAATCATTACCGGAACCGATAGAAGTTCGCAAACAAGCATTTGTAATATGCAACGAAACGTCTCCAGATTTGCATGCAACACACATTAAACTTATCAGCACAGAACCAGAATCGATCATTGACAAGCTCGTCGAAACCTCATCTTCGCACATGCGCACTCTACGAATTTTATCATTTATATACAGAGCATTTAATAGAATTCAAGCAAATCATCTCCTCAAAGTTAGCGATATCGTAAACGTACCAGCTACTGAGCTAAGCGTTACATTTTGGCGTCTAATAGGGCATATACAGCAGTCAGCGTTTTGTGAGGAGATTAAGTCAATACACAAGGGAAAACGTATTAAACACAGCATGCAGAGCTTAGCTCTATTTATTCAAGAAATGTCAGTGGACGGGAGAACTGTGGAAATACTTAGAGTTGGTGGGAGGCTAGCCAGATCAGAGTTACCATTCGATGCCAAGTTTCCAGCCATTATACCCTCATCTCATCGTTTTACTCGTACCTACATACAGTTTTTGCATCATCAGCACTTACATGCCAACCCCAAGGTTCTCATTTCCATACTAAGGGAGAAAATATGGGTGATAAATGCTAGAGCAATCGTTCGCCAGGTCGTCCGCTCTTGTATTCACTGCTTCCATTACAAACCTCGTTTAATGGGGCAGCTGATGGGAGATCTACCGGCGGACCGCCTGCGAGGTGAACGTCCTTTTTTGATAACGGGAGTCGATTTTGTGGACCCTTTATGACGACTCATCGACTGCGTGAACGATCAACGTATATATATACTCAGCTATTTTTGAATGTTTCGCAACAAAGGCGGTTCAAATCGAACTAGTCTCAGAGCTATCAAGCAATGCATTCCTTCTCTGCATTCGAAGATTTGTCGGGCGTCGTGGACTGCCTCAAAGGCTGTATTGCGACAATGCAACAAATTTTGTTGGCGCTGCTGCAAGACTTGCAGAGTTTAAGCAAGCCGCATTGGATTCAGAGGCGATCAGCCAAATAAGACACTACAGCGCTTGCATGGGCTTTGAGTTTCACTTCATCCCACCTCGAGTGCCACATTTTGGTGGGCTTTGGGAGGCCGCAGTCAAATCAGCAAAGACATTATTGATTAAAAACATTAGCGAAGCTAATTTGACTTTTGAAGAGCTGCAAACTCTGCTAACCGAAGTGGAAGCCATACTTAACTCACGGCCAATTCCTCCACAATCAGATGATCCCAACGACGGATGTGCTTTGACACCAGCCCATTTGATAATCGGATCTTCGCTACTTACAGCTCCCGAAGAACTATTATACAATCCAGAGTCTTCCCCTCATCTTCGTTACCTCGACCGCTGGCAAAAGGTGACTTTCTTAAAACAACAATTCTGGCAAATGTGGTACCGCGATTATATCCACACACTACAACGTCGATCCAAATGGACTTCAAACCAGGCAAACATTCGTGAAGGACAACTTGTGATTGTCCATGAAGACAATACACATTCTCAAAAATGGATCCTTGCTCGCGAGACCGCAGCCATCGCTGGAAAGGATGGAAAGGTCCGAGTAGTCGATCTCCAGACTAGCAAGGGTACGCTACGCCGCCCAATCCACAAACTAGCACCACTGCCCCTCGATTAGTTTAAAGAAATCTAGATCCTTTCAACGGAGGGAGGATGTTGGAGGAGAATCGAGCATATTAGCATAATTATTTTGTTTAATTTAAATTTCACATTTGCTGTTAAAAACTATGTAAACTTTCTGGCAACATTATTAATTACTTATAAGCACAACAAAAATGCACCCCTGTAATGAGAAAGCGGAGTGACTGGATGTAATATACTCTCGCTCTCTCACTTCGCTTGTAGCCATAAAAGAAGATACATGTATGAATAAAAAAGAACCACTTAAGTTAAATCGTGCGCGCTACAATCAATCCGTCGCATTTGCAAAATAAGAAAGAGGATTTAGGAACACTTACGTTCATTGCGAAACGCAATTCCATCCAGAGGCAGGTCTGGAAACAATATGTATGTATGTGTGCATTGGGCATGGTTATATGGCTATAACTTTCTTTCTGATCAACCTATCATAATGCAACTTGGTATACGGATATATAATTACTAACTGGATGTGTCTACCAAATTTTAAGGGCAAGTTTGTTAATTTTTTCTGAGTTTTCTAAGAGTTGAGCCTGCTCGACTTTAGCATTCCTTTCTTGTTTTAATTTCTATTATTATACAAGTTTACATGCGCAAGGCAAAATGTGCTGACCAGGTCATTAGACCGGACGCCGTTGCAACACAGATGCCAATTCCCACGCGCAAGGCAATATCTGACCAACGGACTGAACGCCGTTCCAATAGCTACCGGCGGAACCTGACACCCGCATGCCTGCCCTGAGTGACCACTACAAGAACGGTCACGAGGCGCCGAGTTAACGTTCTGTTACCTAAGCTGCTGCGCGCATCGGCTATGCTCTGGAGCTGGCGCGGGCCACAGGCTATGTGGCATGCCTTAAATATTTATTTATGTTAGTTATAATTTGGAACTCAAAATGCTCACTTGAGCTAACTATTAATACATATAAATAGGTTTCAAAGTCGGGGCATCTGACTTTAGCTTTTCCATTTGGTATTTTATAGCTCATGTAATTTTTGGCACTGTTTGCCCAAAATTGTAAAGGAAGTAATATTATGAATGTACTCTGTGCCTTTGCAACCATCATCTACTTGACATTTGTTTTACAGCCGACGGCATAAGTATTTTGACAAAATGTAACGCTTTGTTTTGCGTTTTACTTTGGCGAATTGTAACATGTAACGGTTCTTTTATATTTTCCAAAGCACATTACATGTGAGCATAAAGAAGTGTGTAAAGTATTTTTTTCAATTCCTTTATGCGTTTCTTTGAGTTTCGCTTTGTTCTCTTTCGCGAGTTGATAAGAGCTGGACAAAAGTATTTTGACATTCTCTCTATTTAGTCTGTATTGATCTATTATTGAGCTAAAGCTGAGCTGTTAATCGTGAATAACTGATTGCAACTGCTGATAAGAACAGTTTTGATTACTTAAATTGTTTAAAAATGGATAAAATAAAAGAACTAAGTGAATTTGTTAAAAATGATATGATGGCGAAGTATAACGCTGGTATTTTCGTAGATAATATCAGTAAATTATACAATACATCTGGCCAAACCGTATATTATCAAAGAAATAAGTATAATAAAAGCCATACCACAAAAAACGTGGCACGTTGTGGCAGACCGCGTAAGACAACAGAACAGAACGATCGTTTTTTTCTGCGCCAATTTAAGAATAATCCGTTAGAAACACCTAAGACTGTTGCAATGCAACTAACTAGCTACACAAAAATTAATATTAGCGAAAAGACAGTACGCAGACGTCTTAAAGAAGCTGATTATGGCACCTATGTTTCTTGAGTTATTCCTCAAATTTCTATGAGAAATAAGATCAAGCGCCTTGAATTTGCCAAAAAATATATTGACAAGCCTCCGTCATTTTGGCATAATGTTTTGTGGAGTGACGAAAGCTCTTTTGATTACCACTGTTCGAAGAAAAGTTTTTGTAAGGGTTCCAACAACAACACAAAAAAAGAGTACCCGTTTGTGAAAGAGTAAGTAAGGATGTGTCGCTTATAATGGGGTGGAACCATGGATAAGGGCAAATACTTAAATGTTTTAAATGGTCACGCATTTCCTTCTGGGGACAAATTGATCGGAGAGTCCTTTATTTTTCAGTAGGATAACGCGCCGTGCCATAGCAAAATTAATAATAAATTTTTTTGAATGAAGTTCAGGCTAGCACGCTGGATTGGCCACCCCAAAGTCCAGATTTAAATATAATTGAAAATCTATGGGCTTATATTAAGCAAAAAAGATGTGCGAACAATTTCTGAGGTAGGCGCACTCTGGAAGGATATTCCGTTGGATTATGTCCAAACTTTGGTCAATTCGGTTCCCAGACGGCTGCAAAAAGTTATAACTGCCAAGGGAGGATATATTTTCTATTAATAAAAAAATTGTTTAACCATTTACTTTTGTTAATTGATTCTAATTAAAAAATATGCCAAAATACTTATGCCACTTACATTTCTGAAATATGATTTTTTTTGTTGCTATTTTTACCTTTATATAAACTCTTACAAATTAATTTACCTATAATAAACATATCTTTACACCATATTAATTTTAATATTTTTCCTTGGCCATTTAAAAAGTTATAAACAAAATCGTATGGTAGCGTTCATGTCAAAATACTTATGCCGTCGGCTGTATAACTTAATTGCACTTTTTTATGACCCAGTTGTACATGCAGAACAATGTACATACATATGTACATATGTGCATGATTTTTTTACACACAGCTATTAAGATAAAACATGGCCCGAGATACTAAATTGAAATGTCAAGATTTATAGTTTTAACAAAACTCTTTGGCGGCGGAGTGCAACGAAATACACAGCATTTCAAAAGGTATTACTATTGTTTGTTATATAATACCATAATAGGTATACACTTAAGCTTGTAATCACACACACGTGTAAATACATATGTGTATGGATACTTATATACATACATCCTTTTATTATTGAGTCTGTTACACAACGATCCAATTTTCGTCCAAACTGGTCCTCAGAAAAAGACATTGTTTTAAGATTTTTAAGTGGTATATGAACCGTTGCAGAATGTGACTAGTAAAGATGAGCGAGACCTGTATATAAATGTCACGAGTTATTATTTCACATATCAACCTGTCTTAAAATATCACACATTAAATTCATAATGGAGTGCCACAGAAATCTCTTCCGCCCAAGTTTCGCCTCAAAACCAATTCTTGATGCCACAGAAATCGCTTTTCGGGGTTTCTAATCTCGAATGCATTTCCAGGGGTTTTTATTTAAAACACTAACAAAGAAACCATTGGAATCATAAACCTTATAGTTTTTTTGAACAATCTGCATCAAAAATATTTTGCATATCTTACGTAATATTATTAAATTAGCAAATTACTAAATGTATTCGTAAAACACAGCATCAAAAACAACCGCACAATAGAGATGCCCCTTGGCACAAATAGAAAAAAACATTTTACTGAATTAAGTCTTACGAAAGTTAAAATCGAGTATGTTTGTTAGCGAAAATGTGAATGGTAATATACTGTCATTTAAATACGGACCAGCGAAACAAAATGTAAGTACATACATACATTTTTGTACTTTCTGAATTCAATTTTCAAATGCTAGTTTTTGAGATGGAAAACATAGATCGTCTCAACATCGTCTCAATATAATTTATTAAAAAATAAATTCGATTAATCGTAAACGAACCTAAATTAAGTTATATATTTATTTTTAATGAGATAAATTTCGTTAAGGATACTAATAATTTATCAATTAGATTTTGTTCGTAAATAGCAATTGCGTCTGTGTGAGTGTATGTATGTCTATTCGTGTCTGTGTAAGCATGTGTGCAGTTAACCAAGGCACCAGCATCAACAACAGTCGCTGGCAGCGCTTGAGCAGCGCTACAGCAGCAAATATATTTATGGCTATAACTTTTTGTTAAATCGCTCTATCATAGTGAAACTTGGCATACAAACACATAATAACTAACTGGGGCTATTTGCAATTAGTTCGAAATTCCAAGAATTACGGGAGTTAGAGAAAATCGCGATTTGCGGAAAAGAGGGCGAAGGGAGGGAAATTCCACAATATACATTTTCTGCGTATTCTCATAAGGCATCTGGGACTAAAATTTGGTGTTCCTAGGTCTTATAGTCTCCGAGATATAGGCGATTATACGAATGGAAAATCGGGAAAACCCCCATAGGGGGGAAGTGGGGGGAAAATCAAAAAAATAAAACAAACTCGTATATTTATTTATTTAATTGACAAATAACTGTCAATGTTAAACATAAAGAAAAGAAATAACAATCTAGATAATATACATTCAAATATTGGAAAAGAACATAAAAAAAAAAAATTTAAATTAAATAAAATTACAAACGATTTAAAGAGATTCAGACCGGATCAGAAAATTAAGTAAGCAAGATTTAATCGAATTAACCGAACTCTCATGGCCAAAGAGATGACTCAAATTATTGTAGTTGCTACACAGAACCCGAAACGGACTGTGCAAAGCATAGTTGCTTGTACAGCGATTTAGGCCTTTGGGAACAAAAAATCTTGAAGGTCTTTGTGGTACCGTAAAGTTAATTTGGCTGACAAGCACCGAAGACTCGATGTCGCCGTTAATTAATTTATGTATAAAAACTACACCTAATAAAATCCGGCGGCTAGCAAGTGACGGAAGACCTAACAATTGTAGCCTGTGAAAATATGATGGTAGAGGGTCAGTTCTACTCCATCCAAGACCACGTAAGGCAAACAAAAGAAATTGCTTTTGAACAGATTCAATGCGATTTTTATGTATGTCATATTGCGGGCACCAGACGGTACAACAATATTCTAAGGTAGGCCGCACCAAAGCCGTATACAAAATTAGTGTTGTGTAGGGGTCATCAAATTCCTTTGCCCAACGTTTAATAAAGCCTAGAGTTCCCTTTGCTTTATTAACAATGGTGGAGATGTGATCATTAAATCAAAGTTTAGCATCAAACAGTACACCTAGGTCGTTAACAGTGAAAATTCGTTCTACAGGAGAGTTATTTAAATAATATGAAATGAAATGAGGCTTGCATCGGTGGAACGTCATTAGCTTGCATTTAACAAAATTTAAGTTCAACAGATTCCGCGAACACCACAATTGGAAGGCATTGAGATCAAGCTGCAATTGTCATGAAACTGAACATCGTTATATGAGAGGCAAAGTTTTACGTCGTCGGCATACATTAGTACACGAGAGTAAGTTAGGGATGATGGCAGATCATTTATAAAAAGAGTAAACAGTAGAGGACCTAAATGACTACCCTGTGGGACCCCCGAAGTTACTTTAATAGCTTTTGACAGTACGCCGTTAAAAATTACACGTTGTGTTCTGCCAAACAAATAACTATATATCCATACGATAAGATTTTTGGGAAATCCCAAAAGACCCAGCTTATGGATCAATAGCTCATGGTTGACAGAATCAAAAGCTTTGCTAAAGTCAGTGTATACAACATCCGTTTGGCTCTTAGCTAAAAACCCATTCATAACGAACGATGAGAATTCAAGGAGATTTGTTGCGGTAGAGCGGCGTTTCATAAATCCATGTTGAAAAGGGGAAATTATGGACCTGCAATGATGCTGTAACTGAGAGGTCATCAGTTTTTCCAGAAGTTTGGGGATAGCAGAGAGCTTAGAAATCCCTCTGTAATTTTCAATGTCAGATTTAGGTCCTTTTTTATAGTGAGGGAAGATGTAAGAATTTTTCCAGATATCGGGGAATCGGCATCTGTCAAGTGATAAGGAGAAAAGTCTATAGAGTGGTTTGCTAAGGGCATCAGCACAGAATTTCAGGACGCATCTGGACCGGGTGCAAAACTTTGCTTAAGATTTTGAAGCGCGGACAAGATGGAAGGTTCATCGACAACAGGCATGAATATGCAGTTGGCTTCATGAATATTGCCGTAAAAGTTAATGTTGGAAGAGGAAAAACAATTTGTTGTGTATGTGTCTTGGAAAAACATCGGCATAACATTGATTGTTTAATATTAGAAACTGAGAACGGGCAACACTAAATTTGTAAAAATCAGAGTTGGTCCCAGATTTTGAAAAACGCTTATATAACCTGGACTTAACATTCTTTAATTTGGAAAGCTCTTTAGTGAACCAAGGCACACGACGCGATGGCCGTAGAGTATAAATAGGAACACAAGCATCAAGCGCAGAGTTAAGAGCTCCATAAAATATATCAATGGCTAAGTCCATATCGTTACACACATATAAATGAGACCAATCAAGCTGCGCTAAAATACAATTCAGTTTAATAAAATTTGCTTTTTTAAAGCAACGTACTCGCGTATTTTGGTTTTGAGGCAAGGTGGTGCACATTTCAGTATCAATCACTAGCTCTAATGTTGGATGGTGAAGATCTTCGGGCAGGGACAAAGGCAGTGTTCTATTTATAACCATATTTGACACATCATTTAAGAAAACAAGGTCTAGAAGTTTCATTGACGAGTTTAACACAGAATTAACTTGAAAAAGAGGTATATCAAGCATACCATCTAAAAATTGACAGGCAGAAGAAGGAGTTAGGAAATTTGAATTTTCTAATACTGACCACGAAACATCAGGTATGTTAAAATCACCAAAAACGACCAAATAGTCTCTATCTTTAAGCATACTGGATATGCTTTGTATTGCAGAACAGTGAAGAAGGTAAGTTTCATTATCGGATGCATGTGGGATATAAGAACAAGTGACAAATATAGAAAAACGCGCAAATATAAGCTTTACACATATAAACTCGATTGAAAACGGATTTTCAAAAGAGACAAATTCAGACGACAATAGAGAATCTACAGCGATAAGAACACCACCACCTTTGCGGTGTATACGGTCAAGTCTGAAAATAGAATATTTTTGAATAAATATTTCAGAGTTTAATACTTTGGGTTTAAGCCACGTTTCAGTTAATATAATAACATTAGCAACGAATGATGTACTGTTTGAATAAAGCCTTTGATGTTTAGTAAGCAGTCCCCGTACATTTTGATAATGAAATATCAGGGAAGAGGAATGATTTAGTTTTTTGGAGAAGACAGTGCTATGGAAGAAGAATTATTATTTGCATTAATGCGTTTACGGGTAAATTCGTGAGCAACTACATGTTTTGGCCAGAAAGTAGGGTCAACGATTTTATTAAATAAATTCTCAGGAACAGAAATTTTGAAAGACGAAATGTCGCGTTTATACTTAAACTGGAATTTCGAAACCAAAACATCATCAGCTAAGCAAGAAGGTACATTTTGGCAAATGTACAGCTTGATGGTATCCTCTGAAACATCGTGCCTTAGCCGGGATACAAAAATCGACTGGCGTGGCGGGACACCAACTAAGGCCCGAGTGGTGCCAGGATCATGCGTCTTGGAGCAGCAGCGATGGTGGGTACAGCTGAACAGGCAGCAGTAACAGGAATATCCGCAATAGCAGCAGCAATCACGTCGGTAGTAGCATTAGCAATTGATATGGCTGAAGAAACACCCGGAACAAGCACTTCACTATTCATAGGGGCAGCAAGTGAACGCGAAGTTGAAGCGCTCTCGCCAAGAGAGACAGCGGCAGGTGTAGCAAATGCTTTAACGATAGGATTAGGGTAAACCGGTGTAGAAGGTGAAGCACAATTTGTATTGTTATCCGGGATTGTAAGTATGTTAGGCTGGGATATAGTCAAGTTTCGTTTCTTCCTTTTTGGAGACTCGGACAGTAGCTTAAGGCCAAGAAACGTCGTTTCCAGCGCTACAAATTTTTCGTGGAAAACTTGAAACTCGGCACGAAGTTCTTTTATGCTTTTATGCGTCTGCTTCATAAACTGACGCATTTCGGTAGCAATACTACGACATCTTTCACAAAACCAGATTAAGCCGTTGTTTTTGCCTAAGTAGTCAGTTACCCGGCCAACGAACCCGGCACATTTCGCGTGACCAACGTCGTCGCACAACCAGCACTGCACTGTAGGGTCCATTGAACCAAGCTTATGGCCAAACTCACAGGACTTAAAACAGCAAGAAAACATTTTGGTCCGTTTTAGTTTGAGCCTAAACG